CCGGGGAAGGGCCCCCCCCTGCCTGCCCACGGCTGCTCCTGACAGGCAGGAACATGGCGAGGTGCAGGGTGGGCGGGGGGGGGACCCACACTGTCCCCAGGTCCAGCCCTCAGCAGCCCCCTGAGTCCACTCAGCAGCCCCTTGAGTCCACATGGGTCACCCTGGGGGTCCCCACAGGTCCAGGGAGCCCTGACAGCACAAATCCCCCCCTCCAAAGCCTCTGCCAGCCCAGCGCGAGGCGGACAGACGGACAGGCAGTTATTCCCTGCGGGTACAGCAGGCACCGTGCCCATGACAACACAGGCTCCACTTCGCCAGCCGCATCCCCCCTGTGCATCAAATGGGGGCTGGGTAAGGGGCTGCTCCATCCAGCCCCGTCCCCCCGGCATCACCCCGATACCCCCTTCATGCACCCACTGCCTGTCTCCTCACCCACCCCAGGGCACAGACCAAGTCTCTCCTCTCTGCAATGTGGGCACAAGCACCCGCAGCCTGCTCTGCCTACTCCCAGCATCTGTCTGCCAGCCCGCCACAGCACCCGGGCACCCCTGCCAGCACCCACTGGACACAGCCCCACGTGAGGCAGCCTGGCTGCTGGGAGCAACTGGGACAGCTCAGAGCACGGCTGAGCCCTGCAGTGCTGGGGACACGAGCCCCCCATGGGGACACGAGCCCCCCCACGGCACCTCTACCCTGACCACGGCATGTCCAAGCCTTGGAAACCACATGCAAAACGGGGTTAACAACAACAAAACGGGGTTAATGCCAAGTGGGAGCTGCAGCAGAGCTGTCCTGATGCGGCACAGGGTGCGGGGCAGGGGTCCAACGCTCGCCATGCCACAGAGCCCTTGGGGCTCATTGCCAGGATGCTTGAAAGGAGACTGGTGCCAACCCCAGCCCCTCCGTGGACCCAGCCACGTCCTCTGGTCTGGCAAGACATGACTCCCACCCATGGCACCTCCACAGCCTCAGGAGGCCCCCGCTGCTCCCTGCAGACGGGCTGCAGTGTCCCCCTTGCACGCTGGCCCACTCTTGCGAGCCCATGATGACACTAAGCTGCTTTCGTGGCCAACCCACATGCCTGGGCCGTCAGATTAGAGCTGGGCAGTGGGCACAGCGCCGGCTATGCAGTGGGGGTTCAGCCATCCTGGCACCCCCCCAGACACCACAGGCATTCGTTGAGCTGCTGACCCCAGTGCTCCCAGTGTCTCCTACTGCTGCTAACTGGAACCAGCAGCAGCTCACAATGAGCCCAGGGACCGGCTGGGGTAAGGACCATCCGGGGCAGCGTTGCTGCCTGAAAAGCTCAGGGCAGAGGGCACGGGGGCAACACTGGGGCTTGGCCACAACCCACAGCCCCATGAGCAGCACTGCCCATCCTGCCTGCAGCCGCGCTGCTCCATCCCAGCCTTGCCACCCACCTCACTCCCGGGGCAGGGGCCGAGCTGTGGCTCTCGGTGACAGAGGGACAGCCCCAACCCTGACACTGCTCTTTCCAGCCAGGTCCTCCTTGGGATAAGCAGCCCCAGGGCCTTCTCTCCTCCTCTCTCTCCCTTTCTTCCCCCACGACTTTTGCACAGCAGGGACAAGCTGTGCTGTCCCTGTCCCGACCCCCGCGTCTCCCAGAGTGACTCATGTTTGTTGACCCAGGCTATTTCCGAGAGTGCAGCTGGGCTGATTCCTGCGGGGCACCGAGCCCCTTCCCTGCCCCAGCCCTCCCGCTTGGCCCAGTGCCACCCTCATGCCGCTGCTCCCCCGGGGAGAGGGCAACAGACGGGTGATTTCAGGCATGAACAAGCCGCCGGTGACGCCGAGCCCCCATCTCCCATCCTGCACCCGTGTGGTGCTGTCCCCCCGCAGTGTCCCCTTCCCAGCAGCATTTCCGTGCTGCTCGCCGCTCCCCGGGGACCTGCCCTCAGCCACTTTCCCACGGAGCAAGTGGCCGCGCCAGGCCCTTTGAAGCAGCCTTAGGTCGAGGGCTGTGTCCTGGGCATGACGCTGTCCCCAGCACAGGGGGGATGGCAGCCAGACTGGGGGTCCCCACCAGGAAAACACAGGGGCACCTCCATCCTGAACCATCCCTGCTGCCCTGGGCCTCCCTGCAGCCTGGCCAAGGCAGGTGCTGGGGGATGCGGGGTCTGGGGGCTGCCTGCCCCCCTCTTCCACCTTCCAGGTCCTGCTCACCTGGGAGCATCTCAGGGCAGTCCAGGCCTCCATCCTCCCTGCCTGGCAACTGCCAATCAGAGGTGGCTCAGCTGTTGCCCTGGAAACCCTCGTTGCCATAACAGCAGCTGATGGAGGTGCAGGGGAGGCAGATGGTGGCAGAGGGGGACAGCCACGGCTGGCAGGGAGGGACGGGGGGCTGCACGCTCAGAGCCCTTCCTGGGGCTGTGGTACGGAGTGTGGCTGAACGGAAACGCTTCCAGCCAGCTGGGGCTGGACGCATGTCTGGGGGATGGCTACTGGCTTTGCCACCTCCGCAAGACCCCCTCTCACTTTGTCCCACCTCCTGCAGCCGCTGCGCCCTGGGACCATCACCCACATGCCTGATGCCCGCCCACCTCGCTGCCTTCAACCCTGGGCCATAATCCCTGTACCCCGCTCCCAAAAGCAGAGCTGCCTGCCCATGCTGCCAGGCATCTCCCATCCCACACATCACCCCAGGGCAACCTTCCCAGCCCAGGTGCCTGGCCCCAAGAGGTAAAACATCGGGTGAGATGTCCAAAAGCCCCAGCGTGTACCTGGATCTGCCCCTTGCCCATGATCTTGTCCACGATTTCATTGTTGTCCTTGTTGAGCTTCGTCTTGTCATAGCACTTCTCGTAGCAGAGGATGCGCAGGGACTGGGAGCCCTCCAGCTCGATCTCAAACTCCTGGGGTGCGGAGGGAGGGTGGCTCAGCTCCAGCAGCCCAGAGCAGCTTCGAAACTGGGGCTAGAAGGGAAAGGGGGAGCACAGTCCCCTCCCTGCATCCCACTCTCTTCTCACCTCGTTCCACTGCGGCTCGGTGGTGTCCCGAAAAACCCTGGTCTTGGCTTTGCTGACGAAGTAGCCAAAGGAGTCCACCTCCAGTGTGCAGTAAAGGTCTGGGGGAGCAGACACTGCTCAGCGCCCGACAAACATCCCCACCGGCTCCCAGGGGGTCGCTGTGGGCAGAGTGGGGCCACATGCTGGACCCCAGCTCCCCCACTGGCACCAGCCCCTCCGAGCAAGGGTGGGCACCCACACTTACTGGCAGACTGCTTGAAGCCCTTGGCGGAGTGGACGATGACGTGCAGGAACCCGTAGAGCCCAGGGGACTCATCGTCTGTGGCGGGGAGAGCAGAAGCTGTGTCAGGGCTCAGCTGCCACCTCCCGCACCTCAGGGCCAGCACACGGGGCTGGCCGTCCCTGATGCAGCCTTTGCCACAGCAAGCACTAGGTGCCTGCCGTGACACCCCAATATATATCCCCAAGGTCTAGAAGAGGACACATATACCCCCGCTGCCGATCATCCCTGCTGGACATCCTGAGCTCTCCTGCTGCTGCTGCTGGACAGCCCTGGGGGAGGCTCCCAGTAGGGCTGGCGGGGTCTCGTCCTGGGGACACCCTTGTCCTACCCAGCCCATGGGGGTGCTGGAGAGACCCCAAAAGCAGCCCCATGTTGCAGCCGGGATTGCTCTGCCTGGGAGCCCGACTCTGCTCCGGCAGTGCCACCTGGTGGGTAGCTGTCCCCCTGCACAGCCAGGGTCCCCGAGCAGGGACCCTGCTCCAGCTGAGGGACCCTGCAGCTCCTCCCTGGCATCATCTGGAGGCAAAAAGGGACGCACCAGTCCAGCAGACACTCACCGTCCTTATTGCTGGTGACAGGGATGTTGTGGACAGTGCGTAGCTTGAAGCAGGATCCTGTGAGCACCTGCAGCTCCACCGAGCTCAGGACGAAGGCCTGGAGATCTGGCAGAGGACAGGAGGGGAGCTTCAGAGGGATGCAGCCAGTGCTGGCCCAGGGACTGAGCAGGCTGTGATCCTGTGGGACCTCCTCATGGTCCCTAGGGGGGCCAGGAGCCCCAAAAGGGCCTTGGCAGCCCCAAACTTACCCTTTTTCTGCAGTTTCTGAATGGCCTCCCTCCACTCGGACCTCTCATAGTCAGAGGACAGCAGGAAGAGGTAGCTCTGCAAGAAAGAGGGCAATGTGGCAGGCTGTGCGCAGGCAGGGCTGAGCCCGGCCCCCAGCCCACCCTCCTCACCTTCCCGTTGCGGTTGTGGATGCGGAAGGGGATGGCGGGCGAATTGAGGAGCAGCCAGAATTCGTTCTCAAACATCTTCTTCTTGAGGCGCTCGATGGCCCGGCTCTGCCCCTTGTTGGCTTTCTGCAGGCAGGGAGTGGACAGGAGCTTTCGCAGGTGCCCCCGGCCCCTCCATGTCTCCAGAGGAAGGCACCCACCCTGCCAGCAGGTCTCACGCCCTCCCTGACCACCCACACCCTCCTCTCACCTCCTTCTGCACCTCGCTCTTGATGGCCGAGATCTTCATCTTCATGTCCTCCAGCTCATGGTCGGGGATGACGTGGACCTGCGGGCAGTGCTCCGACTCCTCCGGCGAGGGGAACACCAGGTCGGCCAGGGGCACATACCACTTGCAGTCGTACTGCTGGTGCTTCCTGCGGCCGGGGAGTGGGCACTGAGTGATGCCTGATCTCCCTCCTGGCATGTCCCTCTGCCCACCGGAGGGTTGTGACACATTCCCCCCATACCCAGCACCCTCCTTACCCTACCGCCGTCTTCTTCAGCTTGGCACAGAGCAGCACGTCGGTGAAGAGGAAGACGTGCCGCAGCTTCCGCGAGCCCTCTGACAGCTCCACCAAGAAGCCATCCTTGACAAGCTGCCGGGTCTGCGGGGCAGCAGGGCTGGTGTGAGAGTGGGCAGGGAGCAAAGGCCAACAAACCGCAGGGGACGGATGCTCCTGTCCCTCTCCACAGCTAAATCAACAAGGGCATGGGAAGGTCCATGTCCTCTGGGTGCTATTTTGGGTCCCATACTCTCAGTAGGGTGCCAGCAAGCAGCAAGGACCAGTTAGAGCCCTAACCTTGCACCCAGGACTGCGTCTAGAGGAAACCCTCCATCTCCTGGCCAAGCACCATGGAGCTCCTCAGGGTGAAGACACCAGCCAGGGGCTGGCAGAGGGCTCAGCCCTCACCCTGCGCCCAGGCACTGCCCGCCCCGCTGGCTCACCTCCCCCTTGGGGGTGGTGACCGCTGTCCTCCGGGGATCGATGTCCTCATTGATGCTGGAGAGGAAGTTCTGCGAGATGCGGAGGGCGTCCTGGAGCAGCGGGTAGTCAGGGTGGTCGGCCGGAGTGTGTTTGAGGAGATCCTGGAAGGGGACAGGCATGGTTGAGCAGCCTGAGGGTACTGCCCTGCCTGCAGCACCCACCCCGGAGACCCCCCAGCAGCCCTCCCCACAGCTGCGGGTTCCCAGGAGCAATGGGGGCAGAGCCCACCGCTACCCCCCGCCCCAGGACTGGCATCACACTCACATGCAGGACGAGGGTGCTCCGCGTCACCCGGTCGATGGGTTTGTACAGCAGTGCTGCAGGGAGAGAGGAGGTGTCAGCAGCCACCCGCCCCCAGGGCCCGAGCCCCTCTCCCACCCACAAGGGCCAGTGCCACACCCTGCAGGGGCAAGGAGGGGAGACGAGATGCCCAGAGACCCCCAGGTCTGCATGGAGCCCTGGGCAAGCATCTGGAGGCCATTCTGCATGGAGCCAGCTGGACCATCACGTTACTGCCCAGAGCAGTGGTGAGCCAAGGCTCAAGGCCACAGCATCGTGCCCTGCTGCGCCAGGGGCAGGAGAAACCACGGCCGAGCTGGTATGCGGAGCAAGGGCAGAGCCCAGTGCTGGCAGCTGCCCGACGTGCACCTTGATTTCGGGGCTGCACCCAAGGGGTTTCGCCTGCAGCGCGGGTGCCTGTGAGGTCCTTGCTGGGCTGACAAGCCCTGACAACTACTGCATGGTGCTTGCTGTGTGGCACTTCCCGCATGACGCTCTGCTCCAGCCACGGCCCCATGCTGGCAAGATCTGTCCCTGCCCCGGGACAGGGCCCAATGGGGACACCGACCCAGACACCATGTCCTCCTCCCCTCTGCTGCCACAGGTCATGGGTGGCAAAGCCAGAGAGGCCGTCGCAAACACTGCTCTGCCCTGACTGCCACCAGCTGTGGGACGTCCCCACCACAACTGTGCCAGCACATCCCCCTCTGGGGTGAAGGACCTCCCCTGGCACAGCACAGCCACCGGCACCACCAGCCTGCTGTGTGGTGGCTGTGGAGCGGGAGAGCTGCTCATCACCCCCAGCAGCGGGCAGCTTTTTCGGTTTCCCTTTTGGCTCAGCAGCGGGTCCTTTCCCCACCTGCCCTCACGGGGCTCTGCCACCCCATGAGATGCCCTGTATCCCCCTGTCCCAGCCAGTCCTGGGTGCAAGGGGAACCCAGCCTGCTCCATCGGCAGCAAAACCCCCACCTACAGAGACCCCAGGGGCTGAGGCATCGTCCCAATGCCGCTGCCCTGTGTCCCCTCCCTGCACCCCCCCATCCCTGCATCTGCAGCTCTGGCCGGGGCAGGGGGGCCGAGCTGCCCCACACACAAGGCACAGACACCCCCTTTCGCCTGCTGCGCACCCTCCCAGTGGGAAACTGACCCCGGGGGCTCTTCAGAGGCACGTTTCACCCCAAACAGCCAGACCCTCCTCCTCCTCCCCAGCTCTTTGGGTCGGCGAAGGCACAGAGCACATCTATGGTGCTGCTCCCCGCACCAGTCCGCTCGCATGCCTCCCAGGGCTGCTTACACCCAGGCTGATGCCTCTGGGTTTCCCCTTTGCTTCAGACGACTTCCCCAAACTGCTGGGGCCAAGCAGGGCTCGGCTTCGGGCTGGGGGAGAGGAGGGAAAGGTGCCGCTTGCCCCACCCTGCGCTATGAGCCGTGGGGGGCTCCCATCCCGTCTCCCCCAGAGGGTGCTGCCTCGTGGCACCCGGTCCTGAGAGAGGGGTCTCTGCTCGGGAGGTGAGGATGTGGGGCTGTACCCCGAACCGGAGGCTGCATCCCCCCCGACTCCACGCCAGCAGGTAAAACCGGAGCCCTGCTTCCTGCAGCAGCCAGTGAGAGCCCTGCTCTGGGACGGAGGGGGCAGGCAGGGTGTTCCCCCCGCTCCCCGCCCTGGATCCACAGGGAGGATGGACCCTCATCGCTACAGGCACACGCAAAGCACAGGGAAGCCCTGGGAAGGGCAGTTCCGGCACAAGGGAGGAGCACAGGGCTCCTCGTCGGCACCATCCCGCCAGCCCGAGACCCATATGTGGGCAGCATGGGTCCAGGCACCAGCAGGCAGGGATGCCCCGTACCTCTCTTCCCCAGCTGCGGAGAGATGGGCGTTCCAGCCTCACGGCGCACATAGCCTCCAGCAAGCAAACAGAGAGAGGGATCCCCCGCCCGCCCCAGGCCCTCGCTGTCCCGCCACTGGCACGAGCCCCTGCCCGGTGGGGAAGGCGAGCGTGACGCCACATGTGCCGGAGCCAAGATGATTCAATAGAGCCTGGAACAAAGACGCTCCCAACTTCAGGCTGCAGAGCACAACGCAGCCTCCACCCCCAGGCAAGGACAGCCAGCCCCAGGCCAGCGTCCCCACAGCATCGCTCCCCGTCAGCACCCGAATTCGGAGCCGCACCACCCCACCTCACCGTAGGTGCAGTTACAGCAGAGCCGGACGACGACAAGGATTTCCATGGCAGCCCCGTCTCCGCGCAGCCATCTCTGCCGCCCCGCGGCAGCTCAGCCCGGCTGCAGCACGGCATCGGCCCCTCAGCATGGCTCTCAGCGCAGCCGGCGGGCGGGGAGGAGGGGGTGGGCAGGGGGTGGGGGGCTGCCGCACGCCCCCAGCATCCTAAAGAGCTGCGTTCCCCTTCATCCTTGCCAGCTCCGCACACGGCAACACAAAGGGCTCCACTCGCGGGAGCTGCTCAGTAATTAATCCGCACCAGTCCCGCATGCAGACAAAAGGCTGCGTCCCCCTCCCCATGCCCGTGCCTGCCGTACCCTCCATGGTGACGGACGTGTGGCTCTCCTTCGAGTCCTTGGGGCCCTTCACCTTCAGCTCCTAGGGAGGGAAAGGCCCATCAGAGCAGCCCATGGGGGGCTCGGGGGAGGGAAGGTCATTGCTCAAGGTCATGGGGTGCCCCCCACCCTTCCTGCACTCTGATATCTCCCCCCAGCCCCAGCCTGGCCATGCTGGAGGCCACACAGGGGTGCTGGGGTGGAGGTGTGGACTGTACGGGACGCTGCCTGGCCGGGAACAGCCCTGGCTGCACCCAGTGGCTGGGACATGGTGGACCCACAGGGCAGCCCCCACGTGCCCCATGAGCCTCCCCTGAGCAGGGCACCCACAGCTGGCGTGGGGAGGCTGCTGGTCCCACCAAGCTGAACAGCCCTACTGCGGAGGGGCTGGAGGGAGCGGGGAGCCGGGCTGCGGCCACGGAGCTCCCCATTTCTATAGGGGAGCCAGGCATGGAGATGCAGCCAGCAAGAGATGAGCCACAGGTACCCAGCACCCACACTCACTGGACGGAGTGAGTGGGTGGGGGCTGCCCCAGCATCCCAAAAATGACAGTAGCAAGAGCTGAGCCCGACCTGAGCTTGCATGAGACAGGGGGCAAACCCCCACAACACCCAGAAGCCATGACCCTCTGGAGACGGTCCCCAAGAGTCCCCAGGGCAGGGAGGGCATCTCCATGGGGCGCACACAGTTGGCTTGGCCACAGGGACGGTGTTCTCTGTCCTGCACCGGGACAGCCCAGCCGTGGCAGCCCCGTCCCCCCTGCACAGCCCCGGTCCAGCTTACCTCAGAGATCTTCTGGAACTGGTAGTTGCTCTGGCTGCACTTCTCTGCGGTCTCCAGCGCGATTTTGTAGTTATCCACAAAGGCCTTGTAGACCCCCAGCTGGCTGGCCTGCAGGGAGTGGGGGTTAGCTGGGCACCCAGCAGGATGCTGAAGCCCCCCCACAGCACAAGGGGCCAGGCAGCCACCAAGGGGACACTGCACAGAGCTGTCCCCTCCCGGCAGGACACCCTGCCAGACCATAGCCAGCTCAAGGGCTGCATGCTTGGCCCTGCAGGGAAAGCCCTTGCCTGGGGCAGGATGGTGGGGCTCCAGCCCAGCCCTGTGCCCCCACAACCCTCTGAAATCCAGTGGAAAGCCAATGGGTGCCTGGACAGTGGAGGCTGAAGCTACAGCCACTTCCCAGCACCCTTCAACCTGCCTTCTCCTCTTCCCCTCCCCGGCATGGCCACCGCCACGACACCTGCAGGCACAGCCTGTGCTCCCATCACAAGTCCGAAGCAGCAGTGGCAGGACCTGGAGCATGACCCCGGGGAGCCATCACCACAGCACCCGCAGGCAGCTGGGGGCAAAGAGGCAGCAACTCCCTGCCTCTCCCCAGAGGGTCACCCGCATGCCCGGGCTCCTGCCAGCCCTGCGGCAAAGCCAGACCACATGGCAAAGCCACACCATGCACCTGCAGCCAAAACCCTGCCACAGTTGCACCCAGGACCCACCAGCTGTGGGCATCCCTGCTGCAGCAAGGGGCACGGAGGCTGCACTAACTCCCATCCTGGGATTGGTGGGCTTGGGCAGGCAGCGGCGGCTGCTGCAGGGAGGGATGCAAGAAGTCCCACGGCCACCAGTGAGCATGTGGCAGGGCGTGAGCTGAGCCACGCCGTGGGGCTGAGCCCCACAGCACGGTGCTCCATCTCCCCAGCCCTCTTCCTCTTCCAAGCAGAGTAAGCCCTGTGGAAGGAGCGTACCAGCTTCTGGAAGAGGTGGCCCATGGTGATGTTGCTGTCCCACTGCTGCACCTTTGGGCACAGACTGTCATAGAACTCCTTGTGGATCTCGTAGATATCCTGGATCTTGTAGAAAATGGTCTCGATTTGCTGGAGAGTGAGGACTGGCTGCGACGTAGTGGCCGTGGCCTTCAGTGGCTTCATAGGCTGCCAAAGGAGAAGGGAGAGCATTTGAGATGAGGGCTGGGAGGAGAAGCGACCCTGAGACTCCTCCAGCCCCACACCGTGGCTCATGGCAGCCCAGACCCACACCCCGCAGGCAACCCTGCCCAGCCCTGCCACCGCACCACGGGCAGCGATGGCCACATCCTCTGCAGCCACGCTAACGCTGTTGGTGCAGGAGCCCAGGGATGCTGGGGACAAGGGGGATCTGAGCTGGCAGCGAGGGCCACCTGGGATGGATCCCGGCTGGCAGCTGGACCGAGGGGCTGCTCCTGGCTTGTGCATCCCCGCAGACTTCCCCGTCCGTGGCAGTGGTGACCCCTGTGTTATGCAACAGCGTCTCCGCCACGAGGGCCAGAGAGTCCACAAGAGGAAGCTGGGCTATAAATACCTCCCTGCCAGGCACGCTGGCAGCAGGGGGAAGCGAGACAGGGGCAGCCAGACCACAACAAGGCTGGCTCTGGCATGGCTCCTGCAGCTTTATTCCTGCCCAGGTAGCACCCAGACCAGACCTGCCTGGGGGAGGCTGTCCAGGAAGAAATTACCTCATCCATCCATCCATCCATCCATCCATCCATCCATCTGTCCATCCACCCACCCACCCATCCCTGCTGGGGGACGTCCCTGCAGGGGGTGCCTGGCCTGGGGGCTGTGCTCACCAACAAGAGGGCCTCCAGCTGGTTGATGTAGATCTCCTCGCTGGCCAGGAAACCAGAGAGCACCAGCTTCCGCATCTCCAGGCCTTTGCCAGCATCTCGCTCGCCCTGTGCAACACAGCAAGGAACCCAGCTGAGCCAGCAACTGGCACAGGAGGAAAACCCTCATCCCACCAGCCCATCCCCAGGATCCCCGTGTGGGCATGTCTCCCCGCCAGCATCAGGGAAGCTCCATGACAAGGGCCAGGCATGTGCCCGCTGGGCGGCACAGCCAGGCTGGAGCCAGCTGGGAAGCCACGGGCTGCGCTGGCTTTGCTCCCCCTCCCTGCTCCCAGCTGGCCAGGAGCCCAGTGCTGCTGGCAGCACTCCAGGGTGGCGTGCAGCACGGCAGGACTCTCCTGGGGCAGAGTCTAGAGGCACCCGGTGAAATCATGCCCAGCGGTGGATGGTGCTGCCACGTGATCCAGCACCATCCTTTTCCCCAGCTGAGGCTTTCCCAGGAAAGTGCCACCCCAGCGGTCACTGCCTGGTGGCACTGGGGCAGGTCCCGGGCTGTGTGGGGCCCCGCTGCTGCTCCAGCCACCGGTGGCTCAGCCCATGCCCGTGTCTGCTGCAGCACTGGTGCTCCAGCAGTACAACCCTCACAGCAGGGAGACAGGCAATGCTCAGCTGGGCTGGTGGGCTCTGGGACCCCCAGCGAGGCTCTGCCAGTGCCCAGACATGGATGCCCCGGCCCCTGGACTGCCTCAGATGCCTGGTGTGCCCTGGCCTCCCCCACAGCACTGTTTGTCCTAAAAATCACAGTGAGGAGCTGGGCTTTGCCACCCAGACCCAGACCAAGCAAAGCCATGGGGACATCAGTCGCTCTTGTCAATGAGCCATTCGGGACAGTTTGGGGGTATATTGGTCCTGTTTTGCCCCTGCCTGCACTGCCTGACCCTGCCAGCCCTGGCCATTGTACCTGGCTGCTGCAGCCACCCAGGGGTGTACGGCCCCAGGGTGGGCACAGCCGCAGATCAGCATCTCCCCATCCTGCGCCGGCATCCACCAGCTGGCGCCGGGGGCTGCTTGCACTGACCGGGATGCCCACCCCTCAGCTCCCCGCCAGGCTGCACCATTAAGGCCAGGCCACGGTGACTGGCGCAGCAGAGGTTGGATGGGGGGGGCAGTTTTGTGCGCTGGGAGCTCGTGGGCTCTTTGCCACCGATTAGTCATGGGCTCTTCCTGCTTCCCCTGCCTGGGCCCTGCGCAGGAGCTGGGCAGATAAGGGGCCCGTCCGTGCCCAGGGCCTGCAGTGCCCCGTGGGGACGATGCCAGCTGGATCCCCGTGACCCAGAGCAGCAGCCCTAAAGCAGGGTCTGGCAGCCACTCCATGCAGGAGACCCCAGGGAGAGCAGGGACCAGCCCTCCTCTAGCCCCATGCCAGCCCTCTGGGGGCACCCAGGCACCCCTGGCAGGGCGGGCGAGAGAATGGTGCTGGGCTGTGCCTGCCAGCACAGGGGTCCCCCCAGTGCCATCCCCCAGCACCAGGGTTTGGGGCCATTTAGGGGTTGCTGGTGGCTGTGCGGTGAGGCAGTGGCAGAGTGTGGTCCAGCCCCTTCCTGAGCATCCGGCGCCGGCTCTGCTGAGCCACACAGCACCCCCCCAGCAGCACGCGTGGCCACCACTCCCCCACGGGAGGAAGGCCGGGTACTCGCCCCGCTCTGCGCAAGCACCCACTGAGCCCTCTGCACCCCATGTGTGGGGCAGCCCTGTGCCCCCAGCCGCAGGGGCTGTGGTGATGCTCCCGCTGCCCCCCCAGCTCTACTCCGCACCAGCACCCACCACACCGACCCAGGAGCTGCCCCGAGATCTGGGCATCACCAGCACCAGCAAGATGCCCCTTTTCCCCCCACCACCACCCAGCACGGGAGCGGGGTTGCCCCTGCTGCCCACCTTCTCGCCGGCCGAGAACGGAGACCCAGGGCTGGTGGGGGTTCCTGGCTCAGAGTCATCTTCATCCTCCAGCACTTTATCCAGGTACCCTATGGCCTCCTCTTCCTCCTCCATGGCTGGCCGGGCAGCGGGGGGCGGAGGGAACCCCGCGAGGCTCCAGGCGAGGGGCTCACGCGGCCAAACCGGCCCAGCCTGACTCAGCCCTGGACACCAGCCACCGCCGTGGGATGAAAGGAACCATTATGGGATCCCCGGTGCTCCCGCCTGCCCCAGCTCCGGCCCTCGGCCCCTGGCGTCCCGGCTGCAGCACCAGGCACTCTTGGGGCGGCTGTACAACCGCCTTGAAGCAGCGGCAGGGGCGGGCACCCCCGGGGCCCTGGGGGGCCGCCGGCAGTGGAGGGCCGCTGCCCGCCGCCCTGCGCCCCAGCCAGCCCCGCTGCTCCGCCCTGCGCGCTCGCTACAGGAAATGCATCTCTTGGCGCTGGAGGTGGGGCTGCTCCGTTGGCGGCGTGTGGTCAAGGCTGGGGCGCAGCAGCCGCCTTCCCCAAGCCGGCTCTCCCAACGCTGGCAGAGCTCGGCGTGCCCAGTGAGACCCATGGGGAGGGGTCCCCTGACCCCTACCAGGACTTCGCACCCTCACTAGGCAGAGCAGCCAGCAAGGGGAGAGCACCCGTCCTGCCTGCCACGGCCCCCTGGTCCCCCCGTGTCCCGTGGCCAGGCAGAGAGACGGACCACAGGGATTGCCACCAGCAAGAAGTGACCTCGGAAGGCAGCAGCAGGATCAGGTCCCATAAGAGGACCTGGCCCCACACCCCCAGAAGGGTCCCGGACCCTCCCCCACCCCAGAGGGGACCTGGCAGCTCCGCAGGGCAACACAGCTGAGACACACACCTTCCCACAGCATCTGCCCCGCATCCCATGGGGATCAGCACTGGCACCTCACTGCTGCCCCAGCCCGACCACAACCCTGAGGCCGCCGGGGAGCGGGGACACGAGCGGTGGCGTGACGCCTGTGAGGGACATTGTGGGCCCTGGCGAATGGGGCAAGAATGGGCTGGAGGAGGGGATGCTAACGCAAGAGCTGTTTCAGCAGTTTCCCTCCACTCCTCGGTGGCAAAAGGGGAACCAGCGGCTGCATGTGCTCTGCCCGCAGGAGACAGCTTTCCTCCCTGCGCCCATCCAAGCCTGGAACAAACTCCTGCTGTGAGAAGTGGGCAGGGACACACAGACACAGGGACTTTCCAGAGCCTGCGCCCAGCCCTGTGTCCGTGCTGCAGCTCAGGCTTTGCCCGGCCTTTGCTAAGAGGGGTCTGTACCAGGGCACCAGGACCCTGCCTGCTGTGGCAGGGTCCCCAGGGTAGGGAACACTCCCTGCCCAGGGGAAAGCCACCTGCAGTGCCAAACCCAGCAGCACCCAAGCAGGGGCTGGGCCACCACCCCACACCATGACCATGGTGCTTTTGTTTCCCAGGCAGGAGAGGGAGGGACAAGCTACGTCTGCACCCAGCGGCCAGATGGCCCCAGACACGGTTACAGCAGCCCCAGGAGCTTGCGAGAAGAGATGCTCCACGAGAAACCTCCTCTAGCCCCCAGGCTGGGATGTGACACCTCCAAAAGGCAGCAACACCAGTCCTGCCTCACTGGAGAAGAGCAATGGGGTGAGCGCAGCACCCCATGCCACCAGCCACAGTGGGACCCGCACACGAGCATGTGCCCATTGCTAGGCTAGACACACAGAGGGATAAAACATGCTGGTACTCAGACGATCCTCTGCTAAGCCACAGCACAAGCAGCTGCAGATGAAGAGATGGAGGCAGAGCGGTGCTGAGCTCCAATGCTTCCCAATCCTTAGTGCCAGCCGAGCTGGCTTCACCACCTGCGCCCAGTCCCAGCCCGCTCCACCAGCCCCCCAGGGGCACCGCTTTGCCAGCACCCTCACGGTCTCCCCCTCAACCCCGCTTCCCCAGGACCACCCTCCGCTATCCCCGCCGGCCCCCGGGGACGGAGCCCATCGCCCACACCACATCCATTGCCAAACCCCACCGCCAAACCCCGGCACCGGGGTGTCAGGGCTGGGGCTCGCAGGGCTGTGCCCAACGTCCCGCGGGGGGACAAGGGGCCCCGAGCCCGGGTGGCTTGGACCCAGCCCTGGGACAGGGTCCTCGGCGCAGCGGGGTGGCAGAGGGCCGGCAGCCCTGCCTCCTTCCCTCCCCTGGGTGCCGGGAGGAGGATGCTGCGCAGCAGCGAGCCCTGGGGAAGAAGCCACACCTCTCGCCTCCTCTGCCTCAGCATCCGGGTTAAGGGCTTAACTCTTTCCACGACAAAAACCTTTATGTTTTTCAGCCCGGCCTCCTCCCCCTGCCAAACCCCAGCCCCCGGCCCGCTGCGGGACCCCGGCAGCGGGGGCAGCAGCAGGCGCCGGGGGCGCCCCCACCCCCGGGGGGCGCGCCCCGCACCAGCCCCCAGCCCAGGCCC